CCAGTACAAACAACAGAACAGAAAAGAACCACCACACACACCAAAAAACAAACAAATTCAATTCCTTCTTTCAACATTTTTCATCAAGTATTTTCTAAGAGGGTGATTACTACCTGCCAGATTCTCTACTGGGTAGTACAGACAAAGACAAATGAGGCACGACCCTCTGTTCTTTTTCTTTTTCTTTTTTCTTTTGGAGACAGGGTTCTCATCAAGTTGCCCAGGCTACCACCAGTCTTTCTTTTTTCTCTTGTAGTACTAGAGATTGAACCCAGTGCTTTATGTATGCTAGGTAAGCACTCCACTCCTAAATTACATCCCCATCGGAACAATCCTCCTTGAAAACTTCAATCCACTAGGCACAGTGTGCTTAGCCTCTGTTTTAGGGATGGGGAAAAAATGAGTAAGACACTTCATCAGGCTCCACCATCCATACTATACTGCCCTCCAACTTATACAGGGTCAGGATTATTCCTCAGCAGCTATGGCTTCAGATTCCACAGATTTTCAATTTTCTATAATTCTGCAACAGACTGGAAATACCTGCCCTTCATTTGCAGTGGAATAATGACTGCAATAAAAAAGGGAGACTAAAACCACCATTTTCTTACTATAGTCAGTGTATCACATATATAAAGTGAAAATGCACAGGCGAGAACCGGCTTCACTTTTTCAACCCCATCCACAATTAGCCCAGCTGCCCCTGAGGCAGCGCAGGGAGAAGAACAAAGATCTCACCGTGGCCGCCTTCTTCGGCATCGCACAGGAAGTCTGCAGGAGTGTTTATTTCCTGCCCTGCGGCTTCTGCCTCTATGCCTGGCAGCAGCCCGCTGCTTCCATCCTCCATTTTCTTTTCATGCTCCTCTTTTTCTTTTTCTTCTTCCTCTTCCTCTTCTTCCTCCTCTTCTACTTCAGGCTCATCCTTTAGTCTCATTAGAGCTGGAGGGAGTTCTGGCCGCTTGGGAGGCAACTTCTGAGAAGGAAACACCGCCACAAACAAGTAGCTCCACAGTGATAAAAACAGACAAATCTCTCCTATTAGGTTAATCTAAGTAGGGAGAATGCATGATCTGTCTGCTCTGATAAGCTTCACATGAAATTCTGTGCACCAATGGACACTTAACAAGTATCTTCACTAACTTCTAGAGTAAAAAGATTATTAGGGCTGGGGGAATAACTCAGTTGTAGAGTGCTTGCCTGAGCTGTGCTGGCTTGGAAGGGGAGGAGACCACAATGAAAGGTTATTAAATATAAAACATTTGACATAACTTGTATAGAAATAAAGCATTTATTCCAGGTGAGTAATAGTTCCACTTCTCTCCTATTATGTCTTGCTATTAGAAGCCCTAAATTTATTACAAAATCTTCTATGTAGTTAACAAGATACACATTCCCAAGAAAGAAATCATTTGTGTAGCTTTTTCACTTTAGAGTCATTTCATGTAATTTCAAGGAAATATAATACATAAAATCAGTAAAATAGATCCTGAAGGCAAGGAAGACATTTCTCAAGAAGTAGGGCCAGATGGCCCTTGGGTGTTTTTGTTTTTTGACACAGAATCTTGTTACGCTATCCAGGCTGCTTTTGAACTCCTGGGCTCCAGTGATCCTCCTGTCTGAGATTCCCAAGCAGCTAGGACTACAGGCATGTGCCATCTTACTTGGAAGGCATATCAATAAGTGTTCTAAACAAGGCATGTCAGTAGAAGTCCTTAGATCAGGGCATGGTGGCACATGTCTATAATCCCAGCTACTAAAGAGGCTAAGGCTGAGGAACCTGAGTTTGAAGCCAGCTTGGGCAATACAATAAGGCCATGCCTAAACAAACACACAAGTGAACAAACAAAAGATTCTTAGAAGAAAAATATAGCCTGTCTAGGACTTGGAATTAACAAATCTAGAAAACAGCCACCTGATAAAGAAAAGAAAGTAGATCTCTGGAAATCAGAAAGAACTAACTAGAAAACTAGAAACTACACAAAGGCCTGAAAATTAGAGCCTAACTCCAGGAAAATGAAGCAGTCTAGAAAACTGACCCCAGCTCCTAGGATGGGGGACTTGTCTCACTGATACAAGGAGAGGGTCAGCAGTTCCAGGGAAAAATAGCAGACCAGGCTGGCATGCTGGCCCCAAGAAAAGCCCACAGCTACTGTAAACTGCAAAAACATGGCTCCTTCAGCATGGCAGGGTAGAGTTGGAGAAATCCCATGCAATGGCCACCACACTTGATAGGGTTTATAAAAGCTGTCAAGGGAAAGGGTTAAATTGGGAGGGGTTAATTGTTAAGATAGCCACAGAACAGCTAGAGAACAACTGTACTTCAGGGTTTCTGGTTTCACATACTGCTACAGATAGCTAGGTCAGGAGATACACTAGAGGCAGTCAGCTAGGGCTAGCCTCCAAAGGAACCCGTGCAGATGATGGTATATACTACAGCTGTGGGGGAGACACATCCATTGAAGGCCTGGCCAGACCTCAAGGTAAAAAATGAACCAAAGGCACCCACACACTTCCCCTAAGGATAAGCAACAGTGACTAATATTCTAAATAGGTATCCAACACCTTGGGAAAGCCAGGAAGAACCATGCCCCACTTTAGGAAAAGCCATTGTTCTGTTATGCATCTGCTTGCTATGTGACTTGCTTTCCCATTTGATCCCCATTTAATCTATATTACCTGAGAAGTTATGCTGGTGGCACTAGATTGACCACAGTTTTGTCCCACCTCATGCTCACCTTATAATTTTCCATCTCCCTCCCCTTTGGATCTACTTCACCTCATAGTTTTGCTCCATAGGGGGGGAAAAATCCCTTGAAAAGGCCGGGTCCCTGGCAACCCACTCGAGACCTCTTTTGTCTCTTTCTCAGACAGAATCTTTCTTTTCCCCAATAAATATATTGTGCTCTTAACCTCCATTGTTCCTAGAATTCAGCTTTTGATTACAAACTCATACTGACATCTAGCAGATTGCAAGTTTCATTCTCCTATGTGCCTGGGTGGGAGAGGGCCACGAGGACAGTCGCAGAGAGAGCGCAGCTGGACACAGGCCTCCCTGAGAACTTTAAGCGCAGGCTGGGAAGGACATGGGAGTTCTGTCCTACACAGTAAGAAGCCAGGCTGGTCATGTAACTTTCAGATGGGGCTAGGTCTGAAAGTGCAAGCACTGAGTCTTAGCAGTCTGCTTGAACCCCGCGCGGCTCCCCACATCCAGCACAGAATACTTTCTTGCTTTCCCCATCAACCAGCATGAGTGCCACAGTCCGGAGAGTGCACAGGGGGCCCTGGAGTAGTGGAGCACCTCATAGACTATAAAGCTAAGAGGAGAAAGTTGTGACTTGCGGTACACAGAGGAACACAGAAACAGCTGCCTGAGTGACTATAGTTCTACAGTGGAAAACACCGACTGACAGTGCCGAGTAGGAAGGCGGCCAGGATTCAACATTCACATACAAAGAGAGAGCAAGACAGAGAGACAGAGAGAGAGACGGAGAAGACAGGCAGGCAGGCAGGCAGGCAGGCAGGCAGAGAGAGAGAGAGAGAGAGAGAGAGAGCAAAAAATAAAAAAGAATAAAAGGGAAAAAAGAAGGAAAAAAACCACCAAGACCTCAAAATTCAATTATGAAAATAAATTTAAAGAGTCCAAAAAGTTTCCTCTGTGTATGTAAATGAGTAGTTTCTTCAGTGCCTGCATTATTGGAATCCACTGGAGACAGGGGAGGGATAGTCACTTCTAAGATCCCTTTTGTTTTATACTCACATTTTGTATGTATGAAAAGGAAGATGAAGAGAAAAAAATGAGATAAAGGAGCCCATTAATGAGTAAAATGAAATCAACAGATAAAAGTAACCAAAAAAAAGGAAAAAGAGCAAGCAAAGTACAGTGCCAGAAAGATAGCCCAGTGGGCACAGCACCTGCCTGGCAAGCATAATGTCCCCAGTTCAATTCCTCAGTACCTAAAAAAAAAAAAAAAAGGAGGGGCTGGGGAGATAGCTCAGCAGTCTAAGCACCTGCCTGGCAAGTGCAAGGACCCAAGTTTGATCCCCAGTACCACATGCCTTGCCCTGGGCTATTGAGCTGAACACTGCAACAGGGATGGTGGCGCACACCTGTAATCCTAGCACTAGAGAGGCTGAGACAGTAGTAGCACTGAGTCTGAGCTGCATCACAAGACCTTGTACCAATAAATAAATAAAAGATTTTTTAAAATTAAAAAAAAAAAAAAAAAGTCTGTTGGGTGTGGTGGCATGCATCTATAATCCCAGTACTTGGAAGGCTGAGGCAGGAGGATAACTTTGAGTTCAAGGCCAGCCTGGGCTCTAAAGGCTATACAGTGAGTTCATGGACAGCCTAAAGTATTGAGTGAGACCCTCTCTCTCTAAAAAAAAAAAAAAAAAGAAAGAAAAAAAATTCATAGACTAAGAAAATCAGGGATCACAGATATAACTAAGTGGCACAGTCCCTGCCTAGCAAGTGAAAGGTCCTGAGTGCAATTCCTGGAGGCTCTAAGTTCAATTCCTGGTACAAAAAAAAAGAAAAAAGAAAAAAGGGTCAGGGAGATGGCTAAGTAGAATAAGCGCTTCCCTGGCAAGCACAGAATTCAAACCTTGGCTCCGCCAAAAATAAATAAATAAATAAAAAATAAAGGATAGAAAACAATATTCCATGTAACAGGAGCCCCAAACAAGCAGGAATAGCTATCTTATTTTCACGCAAAGAGGACTTCAATCCAAAACTGATCAGAGGCAGGACTTGATGGCACATTCCTGTAATCCTAGCACTTAGGAGGTAGAGATAGGAGGATCTTTGGGAATTCAAGACCAGCCTGGGCTACAAGGTGAGCTCAAGGTCAGCCTGAACTGCCTGGGACCCTATCTCAAAAATTAGAAAAAAAAAAAAAAAAAAAAACGGATCAGGAAAGGTATAAAAGGTCAGTACACAATAGCTAAGGTTAAATTCAACACGAAGAAATGAACAATTATAAACATATATGTGCCAAACAGTAGCATTCCCAACTTCACAAACATTACTGACTACTGGGTATAAAATATCAGATAGTTAGGCACTATGGTACACGCCTGTAATCCCTGCATCGCGAGGTTGAGGCAGTATTTCTGGGCGTTCAAGGCCAGCCTGAGTTACATAGTGAGACCTTGTCTGAAAAAGCAAAAACAAAAAACAGATAAACATCAGTGCAATTACAGTGTGGGACCACAATACCCCACTTTCACAAATAAACAGATAAATTAGAAAAAAATAAACAAAAGCAACAAAGAGATATAGAAGTTAAAGCAAACCTTCAAACAAATGGACTCCATAGTTATCTATACAGTGTTTTAACCAACAATACATTCTTCTCAGCAGCACATGTAAATTTCTCCAAAATAGACCACATACTAGTCCATAAAGCATGCTTAAATAAACACAAATGCATTAAAAGTTTCTTACTTATACTGAGATTACACTGCAATTAAAATAGAAATCAATGGAAAAAGAAAACAGAAATTATAAGGAAACTAAATAATACACTCCTGACTATTTAACAGGTTACCAAAGAAACTAATTCCTAGAATGGAACAATAATGCCAATACAACACACAGAAACCAGTGGAACACATTGAAATCAGTCTTAAGAGGAAAGTTTATAACTGTAAATAAACATAACAGAAAAATAGAATGGTCCCAAATAACTCAATGATGTACCTCAAGGTCCCACAAAAACAAGAATAATCCAAATCTAAAGCTAGTACAAGTAAGTAAATCATACAGATTAGAGCAGAAATTAATGAAATTGAAACTAAAACAGAATACAGGTCCAGGGAGCTAGCTAAACAGCTTAAGTGCCTGCCTGGCAAGTACAAGGTTCTGAGTTTGATCCCCAGTACCAAAATAAATAAATAAATAAATCCCCCACCAAAAAAAATACAGGGCCCAGGAGATGGCTCAGTAGAACAAGAGCTTCCCTGGCAAGCACA